TCCTCCTCGTCCTCCTCCTCCTCCTCCTCCTCCTCCTCTATCGAGTCCCCTGTCCTCCTTCTCGCCAGCCATGGGCACAGAAAGATATAGCAACAGTAGTGCAAGGGGCCGGCGAAATGAGCGATTCAATTCGGCGGTCTCCCTGCGGGCCCTGGCCGTGTTGTAGGCTCGGAAGGTAAGTGGTGAGACGGAAGATGACGGAGGAGAGCGAGGAGCACACGTAAGACATGCTAAACGAGCATTTGCCCATTCCGCCGACCGGTGATGTCTCGATGAGGCCTGTCTTCATTAACTCTCCTGGGGCACGTAACATACAAGTGAAATGTGCTCCCAGCGCTAGGCCCATGCGCGTGACAGCTCCTGGGACACGTTAGAAAACGAACGAGATGCGCCTTCAGGGTTTCGAAATGGCTGCGGAAGCATCGTTTCGGCGCACCCCTCACGCACTTCCTCTCTGACATGTTTCTGGGGCGCATGAGATATGAGCTGAGACACGTGAAAATACGAATGATCTGCGCTCCGAGGGCGACGGAGGGCCCAATTCTGGACAACCCCCACGCATCTCGTGCTCCACGCTCTGCTGGGGACGTTAAAATACAAATGATCCGAGCTCCAGGGTGGTCGGTGGTCGGACCGCAAGGGTCCTGGGACAAGCGAGATAACTAATGCTGACCACAAGGGACCTGTCGCCGTAAGGGTGACTATTAGTACGACTTGTGGTCAGACCGCAAGGGTACGATTAGTACGACCTTGTGGTCAGTCCGCGAGATCACTTGGTAGGGCCGACCACAAAAATACAATTGTAGGGTCCTGGGACAGGCGAGACAACTGGAATGCATGACGGCTCCGACGGTGGGACCCCACACGAGACTCGATGTAGCTAGCCCCTCGTTCTTCCTCTACTCCCGCCCTCTGTTGCGCCTCATTCTTCTCCTCCTCTTCCTCCTCCTCCTCCTCTTACTTTTCCTCTTATTCTTCTTCTTCTTCGTCGTCTTCTTCATTTTCTTCTTCTTATTATTAGTATTATTGTCATTCCTCCTCCTCCTCCTCTTCCTCATCCTCCTCATCCTCTTCCGTTTCTCCTCCCCGTCCTCGTCCTCGTCCTCGTCCTCAACCTCCTCCTCCTCCTCCTCCTCCTCCTCCAAGTATGAGTCATATTGTTTGTCCTCATCCTCCTTCTCCTCCTCCTCTTCCTCCTCCTCCTCCTCCTCCTCCTCCTCCACCTCCTCCTCGTCCTCCTCTTCCTCCTCCTCCTCCTCCTCCTCTTCCTTCTCCTCGTCCTCGTCCTCCAGCTCCTCCTCCTCCTCCTCGTCATCGTCCTCATCCTCTTCCGCCTCCTCCACACTCCACCTCCCTCCTCCCTCCTCCTCCTCCTCCTCCTCCTCCTTCCTCCCCCCCTCCTCCTCCTCCTCCTCCTCCTCCTCCTCCTCCTCCTCCTCCTCCTCCTCCTCCTCCTCCTCCTCCTCCTCCTCACCACCTCCTCCTCTTCCTCGCCGTCTTTTCCTCCTCGGACGCCTCGCGCCTCGCTAGAGGGGCTCTCTCGGTCGCGGATGGCGCTGCTTTGGTGGCTGCTGCTGTCCGTGCCGCGGTGCTTGCCCAAGCGCCGCGGCGCACGGTCGCTGCCGTGACGCGGTCGGCGGTGTCGGCGGTGATGTTCGCCGCCTCGGCGCCGCCCGACGCGTCGCCTGGCCGCGACGTCGCCGCGCAGGAGGACATGAAGGAACCGACGCCTCTGTCGGCTGCGAAGGTGGAGCGCCGACGGCGTCGGCGCCGCCGTGTGGCGGAGGCGCGCGCTGCGGGGCGCGTTGCTCCGCCTGCTGCTGAAGGAGGCGCTGGTGCTGCTGTCGCTGGAGCGGCGAACGTGGGCCCTCGGCCCGCGGCCGCGGCGGAGGCTGCTGCGGTCGAGACGGACGTGGACGACGACGTGTGGGCCGACGGCGTCGTGCGGCAGGCCGCGGTGCGGCCGAGCCCCGACGTCGTGCCCATGGAGATGGATGCTGCTGGAGCTGGTCCTGGCGCTGCGGCGGCGGGGGCAACGGATGCAGTCGTCATCACCGCCAAGGAGCGCCGCCTGCTGGTGCGCACCCTGGGCCTCCCCGAGTCCACGCCCGACGAGGAGCTGCTGGCTGCGTACCGGAGTCGATGTTCGCCTTCGGCCTGCCCTTAGTCTCCTCGTACTCGGCCGGGGGTGTGGCGGCACCCCCGTTGTATATAGTCGCTAGGCTGTGCCGTGTCGTGTTGTTCGTCATGGTGCACAGTAGCAGTCTTCTCCTGAGGCCCCTTGCTCCTCATCCTAGCAGGCGGGCGTCTGATCCTCGCTTTGAGGCCTTCGATGGCGCGTTGAGGTCAACAAACAAATCCTTGTCCTCGTCCTCCTCCTCCTCTCGTTTTCTTGTTCCTCCTCCTCCTCCTCATCCTGTTCTTCCTCTCTCCTCCGCCTCCTTCTCCTCCTCCTGCTCCTCCTCGTCCTCGTCTTCGTCCTCGTCCTCGTCTTCGTCCTCCTCCATTCCTTTTCCGTATAAATGACTCTCCGATGTCGCACCCCGGCGCCAATGTGTAGGGCGATCAGGGCGTGTCGCGTGATATGTTCAGCTTACAAATTGGCAACCGCTTCACGGATGGAGGGCGGGCGGTTTTCCACATGCGGTTCCCGCGTCAGCGCCGCACACATCCGTTCGAGCAACAAGCAAGAACTCCACGGATTGAGGGCGACCCGTTTTCAACATGTGGTTTTGGCTAAAGCGTCGCGCAATTGTTTAACAAAGTGTACGAGTTTAACGGATTGAGGGCACTTTCTTTTCAACATGTGGTTCTCGCCTTAGCGCCGCGCGCAATCGTGTTAAACATTACAAGAAATTCACGGATTGAAAGAGGTTCCTTTTCAAACTGTAGCTCTCGCTTTAGCGCCGCGCGCATTTTTTAACATTTGCAAGAGCTTCACGGGGTGATGGCGGATCCTTGTTTTCATACTGTGGTTCTCGCTTTAGCGCCGCGCACGTTCGTTGTTAAACATGTCAGAAAATCGCGGGCTCCCATGAACCGCGTACCAAACAAGGTGTTGTAGAAGGATTCCGGGTTATGGATGTGCAAACTTTACGTTGTTTCGCGGCCTTGAAATCCCAGGAAAAGCGTGTTGCGGCGATTCAATATCGCCAAAACGCAGCAGCCTGGTTGGCCTGCGGCGTGGAAGTCCCGACCGTGTTTTCGCATGCGCCAGGGTATTCAAAAGGTTGTCTTCCAACGGGGAAATTCCCACACTGGAAACGACAACCATGTAGGGGCATGCGAAAAAGGAGCTTGGATGGAGGCGTTATTCTAACATCGTTGGTGACTCGTGGGTTTGCACTGGTCTTCCCCCTCCTCCTCCTCATCCTCCTCCTCCTCCTTTCCCGCCTCCTCCTCCCCCCTCTTTCCACGATCCCCCCTCATCAGCATCAGCATCATCATCCTCATGTGTTTGTTGTTCTTCCTTCCCCGCTCCTCTTCAATCTTGTCCTCGTCCTCGCCCTCGTGCTCGTCCTCCTCCTCGTCCTCGTCTGCATCCTCCTTGTCTTCCTCGTCTTTGTCGTCCTCTTCGTCCTGTCCTTTTTCCTTTCCCTTCTCTTCCTCCTCGTCCTCCACATTTTTCAGCTTCTCCCTCTCCTCGTTGTCATTCCGCCTGTTCTCCCCCAGCGCGTTTCGGTCCTGGCGGCTGGGGCGCGCGCGTCGGTTTTCCTCGGCACCCTCGCCGCCGCGGCCACAAGGGGCGCGTTCTCCGATGGCCTGATCGCGAAGCCGACGGGGTAACCCCGCGGGCCAGGCCGTTGGGGCAACCCCGCGAGCCGCCGGGGCGCGGGAGCAAGCCGTTGGGGCAAGCCCCGCAGGTCTCGGGCGAATCGCGGCCGCGCCCCGGCGGGGGGCAGCGCGAAACCCAGCTCTACCTCGAACTGTTCTGCGTCAGCCCTGGAGCTCACCGCTCTCTCGTCGAACTCCCCGGACGCCTTCCGCAAGGAAGCTGGCGGCCCGCGCTCAGGGAACTTTCGCGTGGGCGGCCGCAGGATCATCATGTTCCGCATGCGCGTGGCGCGGAACATGACGTAGAGGTGTAGTCACCACTGCTCGTCCGACATGCCAGTTCCACCAACGTCATCGTCCCTGGCGCAGCCTATGGTGACGCCCTTGCGGAGCGCCTGACCCTGCGACAGCGCGGAGGCCAGATAGGACGCGTGCGTCAAGGTGAACCCCGAGCGGCGTTCGGCGTGCGGCCCCGAGCTCTGGCACGTGAGGTCTTGCTCGATTGGGCCTGCACATGAGCAAGTTCCTCGCCCGCGCCTGGGCCTCGTCATCGTCGTCATCGTTTCATAGAGAGGGCCTCCCGCATAATATCCTCGCAATCCACTAAGAAAAGAGGCACCCGCTGAAGACATCCTCACGATTTGACACCTTGGAACGCTCGAGTGCTATGCCTGGCAAGTGTTTCCGAAGAGCCATCCGATTGCCAACATGAAACATGGGCCCCATCGGGAGGGGAGGGGGCTTACGCTTACAAACAAGGCCCCCGCTGAAGATATCCTCGCGATTTACCCCCTTGGGGCGCTCAGGTGCTATGCCTGGCATGTGCTTCCGATGGCCCGCTCGGGTTCCCGCTAGGGGGGGGGGCTCCCGCCTGAGAATTCCCCGCGATCCACTCAAACGAGGCCCCTGCTCGAGACATCTTTACGATTTGCCCCCTTGCGGCGCTCAAATTCTATGCCAGGCGAATGTGTCTGATGACCCGGGTTTTCCCGCCTGAGATATCCTCGCAAGTCACTCACAAACGAGGCCCCCGCCCGAGGCATCGGCACGATTTGCCCCCTTGAGGTGCTCATATGCTATCTACGCCTGGTACGTGTTTCCGATGACCCGCCGGGATTGCAAACTGAAAACGCGGGCACCATGGGGAGGGGGCTCCCGCCTGAGACTCCCTTGCAAATCGCTCACAGACGAGGCCCCCGCTCGAGACATCCTTACGATTTGCTCCCTTGGGACTGAAGTGTATGCCTGGTGGACGACGCAAACGCAGACGCAGACGCAGACGCGCGAGTCCGCCGGCCGGCGGGCCGGCAGACCCCTTAGGGGCGGCGCGTGCGGGCCAGAGCCCGGTCACAGGCATGTGAACTTCAAGAAGTCGTTCTCGAGGTCCTCACAGAATTTGGAAGCTGTAGCACCCTGTAGCCACGTGCCTGGTGGATGCTTCCGATGACCCGCTCGGATTGGGTGAGCGTGGGTGAGCGAATGGGCAAGTGAGTCAGTGAACAATGATGGTGATGATGGTGTGATGGTGATTACGGTGTTGGTGATGGCTCGTGTGGGAACAGGGCGTGCTGATGCTTATGATCACCACCGATCCCAATGATGGAATGACTAATGATGATGATGATGATGATGATGTTGATGATGATGATGATGATGATGATGATGATAATGATAATGATAATGATAATGATAATGATAATGATGATGATGATGATGATGATGATGATGATGATGATGATGATGATGATGATGCTGATTGATTGGTTGACTTCTTGATAATAGCGGCGATGACGGTATATGATTGATATTATGATGCTGGTGGTGATGATGATGGTGATGATGGTGAGGATGATGATGTGGTGGTGGGTTCGTGATCCTGCGCGGGGTGCCCAAAGAAAGCAAGATCCCTACCTAGGATGTGGCGGGAGCATACGACTGAACTGCCATTCAGTGTTGATGGGACCTTCAATTTGGCACACACCCCACGCACTTCGCGAATGTTGGGCGCTCAGCTGGCCCCCGAGACGGCTCCTGGAAGCCTCAAGTCGGCACACCCCTCTCGCATGTTGCGATGTATGGATTCTTAAAGACCCTTAGCTGGCCGCTTAGACGACTAATCCCCCAAGGGGCACAAATATGCCCGCAAGAAGAAATGCAATGATTGGTGCCAGCCCTTGTCGAGACAATATCCCTGATACCCACTGGTTGCAAAATCTGCGCGAAATCTTCCTCATGTGGGACCGCCGTCACTCCCGCTCTGCGGGCTCAACTACTCTCGAACGGTACACAGACGGCGGGCTGCCATGGTCACAGCGTGGCTGTCGCGTTAGTTAACGCGGCGCGCGTTCGTGTGCAATCGTTTCAAAGATCCCATCCGTTACAAGGACGGGACAACAGTTTGTTTTGCGAGCTGTAGCTCTCGCAGTGACGCCGCGCCAATTCGTCTTGAGAGCCCCCCACAAATACACTGATGAAACGCACACCATTTTCAAGACATGGCTCTCGCCTGAACGCCTTGCACAGCCGTCTTCAAACAAAACTCCAGCCATTCCCACGGTTGAGGGGGGGTTGTTTTCAATATGTGGCTCTCGCCTTAGCACCACGCACGTTCGTCTTAGCCGAGCCCACCAGTTACAAGGATGGAGGGCAGTTCCTCTTCACTCAATGTGCCTCTCGCAATGGCGACGCGCGTACTCTTTTAAACACCTCCCATCAGTTGCACTGATAGAAAGCTCTTCCCTTTTGAAACAGTGTTGCTGCTTGATGCTTCTCCTCCTCCTCCTGCTCCTCCTCCTCCTCCTGCTCCCTCAACCCCCAAGTTCTCTTCTGCCCCCCTCTCGCCCTCCTCCTTTTCCCTCTCTGCCCTGATCCCTCCCTCCATCTCTCATCGATCATCTTCCTTCCCCCCTCCTTCGCTTCGCCATCCCGTTTCCTCCTCCTCCCCCACCCCCCCTCGTCCTCCTCCTGCCCTTCCTGCTCCTCCTCTTTCCCGTCCTCCCCCTCTTCCCCCTCCTCCGCCTCCTCCTCCTCTTCCGCTTCCTCCTTCCCCCCTCCTGCTCCTCCTCCTCCTCCTCCTCCTCGTCCTCCTCCTCCTCCTGCTCCTCGTCCTCCTCCTCCTCCCCCTCCTCCCCCCCTCCTGTCTTCCTCCTCCTCCTGCTCCTCGTCCTCCTCCTCCTCCTCCCCCTCCTCCCCCACCTCCTGCCCTTCCTCCTCATCTTCCCCCTCCTCCCCCGCGTCCCCCTCTTCTTCCTCCTCCTCCTCCTCCTTTTCCTCTTCCTCCTTCTCCTCCTCCTCTTCCTCCTCCCTCCTCCTCCTCCTCCTCCTTCGCCTCCTCCTCCTCTTCCTCCTCCCCCTCCTCGTCTTCGTGCTCCTCATTCTGCTCTCCTGCTCCTGCTCCTGCTCCTGCTCCTGCTCCTGCTACTGCTCCTCCTCCTCCTCCTCCTCCTCCTCCTCCTCCCCCTCCCTCCTCCAGGCAGCGGGACAGCGCCGCAGGCACCCGGCTCTATCAGGTTGCCCACGGCGCCGCCCAGCACCAGGGCCAGGCCCGCTGAGCTGCAGCGGTCCAGCGCCAGCCAGCGCAGGGCGGCGACGATGGCCGCAGACGAGGCCACGGCCATGGCGGAAAATCCGCCGACCAGAGCTCTGACGTTGCCGAAGGGCTGCTGAGACCGGGAACGCTCCGTCCTCGCGATTTGCTTTGGTAATATCACACCCAGAGGCTCACCACCGTCCTCTTTGCTACAGTGGATGTAGACGCAATCAAGATACACCGACAAACAGGTCGCATCCCCCGGCGAACCCGTCCACATACACCGGCGAAACGGACATGCACTAGCGATCATATCGTTGGGCAGGATCGACCTTACGACGTCTCGCAAGCGACGTCCACCAGCAAAACGCCCCGGCGAACAGACCCACATACACCGGCGAACAGGACCCATCTTGGGGGCCTCTTGAAACATCCTGGCCTCGTCCTTCCCATCTCTACGGCAGGTTCGTGTCGTGCCGACCCCAGCGTTGGTTTTTGACACCGCAGGGATCGTTCAACCTTGAACGATCGGCCGTTTCCGCAACGTCCAATCGTTCAACATCGACCGATTCTGGGCCGCCGCCGGCGTTCAACCTTGAACGCCCGCGGCGGGGTCGCCGCCGGTCGACACGACGCGAACCTACCGTACACCGGCGAACAGGACCCATCTTGGGGGCCTCTTGAAACATCCTGGCCTCGTCCTTCCCATCTCTAACCCCCCCCCCGTCCCCACTCGCCACACCGCGCTTCGGTCAAAGCCCGTCCTGCCTACTTTTGCTCCGTCCGTGCCCGGCAACGCTTCTCCGAGATCTTCTCTGCTCACCGAGCTTCTCCCCGGCTCCTCCGTAGTCCGCTGTACCCCATATGCTCCCAACGGCTCTTCATTCACATTCCCTCCTCACCACCACTTCGCTCCCCTGCTCTCCGTGACTCCTCGTGTGCAGGCCGTCCTGACTCAACACCCCTGCCCATCCCTCACACCTGATGGCCACTCCCTACTCCTTCCCCGCTCTTCCCGACGCAAGTCTTCGTGCCACGCAGGCCCCCTCTTGCCCCTGGCTCATCAGCTGTCACCTCTGCGCTGTCCCAGTCCACCCTGCGACTCCCTGGACGATACTGCTCCGTCATCTGTTCTCCTCCCTCTTCCACCCTGCTCATCGTCCCTGGTTGTCCCTTTTGGACGCCCGAAATGGGTACCGAAAAAATGGGTACAATGCCCAACAACAAATGTTGTCCCAAACCAACAGCAACCGCTATTGGGCGGGCGGCCTCCTGTCTCGAATGGACACAGGCCGCGGCGGCGTGGACAGCGAGCCCTGTTCAAAATGAACAAGATCCGCTGTTGGGCATTGTACCCATTCTTTCCGTACCCATTTCGGGCGTCCAGATCCCTGGCCCTTCGCACGATTCGAATCATCCTCTTACACATCCCCGCTCCTCCGAACACCCCATTCCTCCCCGGTCCTGCCGACGCCCTTCTATCCTCTCCTGCTCTTGCCGACTTCGCCCAGGGCCCGCCTGCCCCTCCGTGCTCGCCCGGACCCTCTACTCTGCGCTGCCTGCTCCCCCCCGCTCCACACTGCCCGGCCCTGCCTTCACCACTTCTCCCCAGTTCCTCCACTCCTTCGCCGTAGGCCCCCCTTGCACCTCTCCCTACTCATCGCTCCCCTCTGCATCCATCCCCGCGGCCACTTTTGCATGCCCCACCCTACTTCCCCTGCTCTTGAACGGTCCCCCCCCTCTATCCAACTATCCTTCCTTATTGGCTCTGAATGCTCCCCATGTTGATCTACCTACCTAACCTCTGGAAACATCCGTCTTCCTTCTCCCTATTCCTCGATGTTTCTTCAAACTCCTGTCTGGTTACAGCTTTGTTTTCTGTTCTTCCGTCATGTCAATGCCTCCTCTTCCTCCTCCATTGGTCCTCCTCTCCCTCCGCCCTGTACTCTTCGCCCCGCTTTGCACATTACTCCTCATCTTTCTGCCCCTCCTCCTTTGCCCTTGATTTCGGCTGCCCCCTTCCACCCTGTCTTTCTCCTGCCCCCCTTGCCTCCTCACTCCCTGCTCCACGGCCTCATCCTCCTCTCGCAGCTCGTGGCGGAGACTGCGCGTCACCATCGCTGACAATCGTCGCTAGCATCGCCGCCATCATCATGCTCGTTGCAGGTCGCCCAGACTTGAAGGGGCCCTGGGACACACAAATAAATACACACAAATAAAAGGATCCTCCATATTTTCCCATATTTCTGGGTTTTTGTCCCCCCCCCCACTTCCCATATTCTCGCATATTTCCCTGGGAGTGGACGATTCACTGTGTCTGTGTGTTTTTCCCCCTCCTGAAGACGGCGCATCTCGCCCACGATGGCTTCCGAGAAGACCTCAGCCGCCATCGCTGGCCTCCACGACGGCGCACGCCCCAAAGGCCCTATCAAGGGGACCCCAGGTAGGCCCCCGAGAGCAAAGCCGCATTCACGGTGCATGACGACATGCTCCCACGCCGGCGAAGAGGCCGTGCACCGGCGACCGGGTCGCGTCCACCGGCGAGCAGGACACGCACCGGGCGAAGCAGCCTCCGTGCGACAAGGCGCGGTGGTGAGCCTCTTGGGCGCCCCCTCTGGGCGCCCACGGGTATACCGAACCCACGACCAGGACCCTCGCTCACCCCCCAGGGCTTTCGGGTATTGTGTACCTCTTTTC